TTATTTTCTTTTATATTTTATAGTCTGATAAATGAATTTTTTTTTAAGAAAAGATTACAAGTATACACAGATTACAAATGCAAAACCTAAACATGCTCTCTGTTTTAAACAGCTATGGGGAAAGTGTGACAAAAGGCTAATTCTTCCACATCAGAGTGGCCTAAAGATATCTACACACAACAGCATACATTTCTTATCAGGCAGCATTTTCAAAGAGGGAAACCTATGAAATTATACTCATAGCCATTACTTAAGCAAGTATTAAATGGAACTAAATGGAAAACCAAAAAGATAAGATGCTCAGAGTTAAGGGGCAGCTGTGATCAGCCAGTGTTTAAAAAGTTAGCAGAATGCTACTGAATGCTAAATTGTATCACTGCCTTCAGGGCAGGGAATAGAGGATCTAATTTTTCACATGAAGAGCAACATTATTGTATTACTTTTTAAAGGTGAGTGGTGAAAAATCCTGTTCCTATTTGTAAAAAGGCAAAATAATATTTCTTACAATACTTCGTTTAAATATATCCATCATTCTGCCACTTTAAGTTCTTGTACCTTTCTTCTAAAGAGTTTAATTGAAGAGATCTGGCAGTGTTTTATATTTAACAAAGACATCCTTTGATTCAAGAGTTCATTAGTCAGTGGAATTAAAAAAGTACTAAGAAACAAAAAACAAAAGACTTGTTCAGTTTTCCTCTCCTGAGATGTCATAATCTATCATGAACAAGATTTAAATTTCTAGCATGTACAATATATAAAGCAAAAAAAAAAAAACAACCACCCACTTTCAACAACAGAAATCAAATGAACAAAGTCTATTTTTTTCTATTTTGAAAAAAGTTATGTTTGTGGTTACTATTATTTTCTCTTCCAATTTACCCACACTGTACAATCGCATACACTGTTCAAGATTATATAGGAAATAAGTAATAAAATTTAGGAAACAACATGTTTAATGAAATGATAGCACTACCAGATTTGAGTGGCAAAAAAAACTAAAGGTTAAATGAAGGCAAGAAAAAGATACAGAAATCTTTATCACCCATCTAGTAGTTTTCTAAGATTTTTGCAGTATAGTTCTGATAGCATGAATAGAATATATTTTTTTTTTAAAAGCACACAAAACACTGAATGAAGTGTTAGGTAATGTTGGAATTATGGAACAAATTAACTGGATGTGTGGCATAACTCAGATCAATATTATAAGCAAATGGTATCATCAAACCATATTGAATTCAAAATTAAAAAAGCAGCAACAGCGCTTCACCTTTTCAAAGAGCAATAAACTTCAGTTTGTCACTCACTATTCAAGAAAGCTTCAGTTAATCTTGATTGATTTATACCTTCAGGACATCTATTATCACCTTTAGGCTCTTTCATTCAACATGTAATGTGTCAAAATGTCCTAGTTACCAAACTGAAAAGATTCATAATTATACAAAGACTGTGGGTATTTATTGGCGCCAGCCTGTAGAAGGAGGTCTCCTTAGCGATTTTTAGAACAAACAAGCCAGCCAAGAAGCCATTCATGTGAAAAAGCTGATGAGAAGTAATAGAATGCGATTTCTCAAACACCGTGAAAAGGACTGTTTACTCTTAAAGGCTTGCAAGTTTTTTTTTAAACAAACACAAAAAGATTATTCAATGCTTATAATTTTGTTTTTCATTAGTAACTTCAAAAAAATATGTCCACAAAAACTGCCGCTTTAGATGCAGTCTATGACATTAAACAAACTTTCAACCCTCTCCAATAAAAAGCAAAATACATTGCAGTGGATAGAAACAACAGAAAAGACATTTAAACAGCCTACTTAAGCTTAAGTGGTGCTCAGATCTTCTGATTCCAAGCACACTCTTAACTTTTCAGCAGAGATAAGAGCCAAAACTGAATTGCAATTTCTCTCGCTTATCAAAGACAAACAGGGTTGTTTTAAAAACTATTGATCTGCATTCTCCCCATATGTCTCTGCTGAGTTAGCAGACTCCTTCCTCTGTCCAAAAAACCCTCAAAACCATAACAACATCTTGCTATGTAGGTGATGATTCAATTATATAATCATCTACTCTGGATTTAGTTTTTCTTTTTCATAAGATGAGCATCTTTAGGAAATTATTTTCATGATCCATGGGCCATTTTTATATTATATTTTGTATTAATGTAATCTTTTCCCCTTGTTCACGTTTTTAGTAATATTTTATAAATTTTTAAATACAACTAACCCATATCTTCTGCTATCCAGAATATACAATACCCAAATTTGTATAGCCAAATGAATAGTTAAAATGATCATATTTTCTAACAAGCTTTTTCGAATTTGAAAATATAGAAATGTTGTTGCTTTTAATACAGTTAGTCCTTGGCTTACAAGTACAATTGAGCCCAAAATTTATGTTGCTAAGTGAGATAGTTAAGTGAGTTTTGCCCCACTTTATGACCTTTTGTGTCACAGTTGCTAAATGAATCACTGCAATTGTTAAGTTAGTAATATGGTTGTTAAGGGAATCTGGCTTCCTCCTTTACTTTGCTTATCAGAAGGTCACAAAAGATGATTGCAGGACCCCAGGACACAACCATCATAAATAGGAATCAGTTGTCAGGCACCTGAATTTTAATTACATGACATAGGGATACTTCAATGGCTGTAAGTGTGAAAAATAAGTCATAAATCAGTGCTGTTGTGACTTCAAACAGTCACTAAATGAACAGTTGTAAGTCTAGCACTACCTGTACTGTACTGTCTGGATTGCCAGTTGCTTTGGTCTCTCTTCAGCCTTACAGTCCCAGAAGGAACTGCCTGGCAAGAAAGAGACATACCTGGTCCCTTCCATTGGCCAAAAAAGGAACACCAGAAGAAGAAGGGATACACAGAAAAAGGGAAGCTGTGCAGAATAGGAACCCCCCCCCACCCAAAGTCATGAGCCAAAACTGCCATTACAGTTTCAGAGTTATTTTTTTAATTACCACAAAAAGGACTACAAAATACTTTTTATGGTCTAATATGGGTTAATCTATTATAAGTGACCCATAGCTTACTGAAACATTGCAATCTTACTGCAAATAATCTCAGGTTCAATCAGTCACTGCTACCTCAGATAGAAGGTGTCCTTGCATTCCCATACAACTCTAGAAGACAGTTATCAGTCAATGCAGGCCATTCTTTTTCCTGCCCCTCAGGGTAGTCTGTTGCATGAGATTGAAGCAAGCAGTGACTGGGTCCAGAGCCAAAATTAGATATAGACGCTCTTTTTCTCAGATACCTCTTTTTCTTCTTTCTGAAACTATACTCTCTCTATTCCATGCTGCAGGCTGCAGAAAAAGGTCACCACTCTTAACAAAGGCCTAAACCAATTTTCTGTATTTGGCTTTGAGATTAGTTCAAAGGCTGCATGAAAATTAGTCTTATGGCCTCAGGTTAGCTAACAGTAATTTATTGAGTGGATCAGTTGCTAGACTTGGGCAAACAATACCTTTTTTTGCTAAACAGAGACAAAATGGGTATTCAACAGTATGATAACAAGATAAATTACACTATTTTTAGACCTTCAGCAGGTAGTGCCTGCAGAGACCATCAGATAAGAAACACCACCAAGGAACACTCCTACATTTATAATCTGTAGAGGTCATAAACTGAACATTCATTCACATTTCTTCCAACTTTCTTCACTTCTCTGGAAAAGGAAAGTGTTAGTACTATTGAAATAACATGCCATTTTGCTCAACAGTATTTGCTACTCTCTGGTAATAACCATGGCCACAACTACTCCACAGATCATTCTATATCTTTCATAAACTTATGCATCTTCTTTTATGTGGGTCTTTCAAGAGCTGGACATATGATTGGAACCATCAAATACAAATCATTAGCAATGCAAACAAGTAAATAACTAAAAACGGACTTCTCCTTAAGTCATGACTGATTCTTGATTGAGAATCTTGGAGAGGTTTTTGTTTTTTTTACAGAATTACCAAAGTGTTTGCAAATTATTTCTTCCAGGATTTCCCCCCTCATGTCTCAGTCCAGCCACAGTCCCTTCCTTTGAAGGGTGGGATATTATAAAAACACAATTAAGAGAACAAAACTGTTTCTTAATTTTGCCTTATTTTTAAATAACACAGCACAATGCTAAAATAGATTGCTGATTACCGTTTTGCTTTACTTTTTTAAGGAGATACTTGAATATCTTCCAGATATCAGGAAACAAAACTTCCCAACTAATTCTTTTAAATGCCACACTCAGCCACATAAATCAGATGAGAGAACACATGAGCATGACAGCTGGTGTTACAGCAGTATCTTTCAAGTGGTTTTTACAACAGCAAAAATTCCCCACTGAAAAGAACACAGTTTAGTTATCTGATTACCAAGAAGATCAATAACTGCTCTTCAATTGCAAGGGTTTCTTTTTAAAGAAACAACCACCAGGTGATTCCTAAGGAATGGGAACCACAGCACTTTAATATTATTGGAAATTAGAAATCATTCTAAAAATCCATTTGGTAGCATCGCTATGCATCAGAGAATGCAACGCCAGCTAAATAAGAAACGGTGCATTCATTCAAGGAAGATATTGTTCTAATTTAAAAGAAAAACTTTCTTCCATGGAGCTTTTTTATCTGGCAAGAAGAGTATGGTGGAAATGAAAAGAATGTGAAGGGTCAACAGCAAATCTCTTGCTTTATAACAAACCCCAATGAAATCAGCAATGCCTCCCTTAGGCTAAGAGCATACAATCTGTTATTCCGCACTTATCGTCTGTTGGGATCGTCAGTTATTTGAGCGCACGCTAAAACAAGTTTAGTTTACAAGCAGGAATCGCTTAAGCCAGGACTTGGGGTAGGAGAAGGGGAACGTCAGCATCATCCTTCCGCCCCTCCCTCCTTTCCGAACCAGAGCAATCAAAATTACAAACGTTCTCCGGATGACAGATCTAGTTCAGCGGACCTTGGAGGGTGCGCCTTCAAAGGACTTGAAAAGGAAAAGGAGCATACTCTCTCTCACCTGCTAGGCTTCCGGGTCTCTGCAAAGTGGCCGTGGCATATAGTTCCTGGGAGTGTTTGCTGTACTGCTCGGAAGGGTGGACCAGCCTCTTGGTGGGCGAGAGGGTCGCGTAGGTGCCGATGGTGGAGCTCAGCTGATGAATGGGAGAGGAGATGTTGGACTGGATGGTGGGCGGGGAGGTGACCCGGATCGGAGAAGGCGAGAGCCCCGCCGTGGAGACGACGATGTTGATGGGCGAGCTGGTGCTGTAGGACTTGGCGAGGCGGCTGGGCGACTGCTTGGGAGACGAAACCCGCTGCGTGGTGCCGTAGCCCCCGCCGCCGCTCTCGGAGGCGGAGTCCGCCCGCTGGAGCTTGGTAGGCGAGCCCACCTGCTGCATGGACAAGGGCGAGCTCACTCTCTGCGCCGGCAGCGTGGAGCTGGAGTAGTAGAGGGCCGGCGAGTGTGGCTGCTGCGAGGAGGAGGAGCAGGAGGAGTCCGGCAAGTGGAAAGCGCTCCCATAGCTGGGCGCGAAGGTCTCCCTGGGCAGCGGCTGCGACGGGGGTGGCGGCGGCTCCGAAGTGGCGAGGTGGGCAGTCCGGCCAGTGGTGCCCTGCGAAGGAGGGGGATGGGCGGGGAGAGCGAGTGAGAAAAGGAGGCAGACGAGAGGCGGTCAACGGAGGAGGCGGTTTTGACCAGCTCACTCCCATATCCGCCCTCCCCCACCCCGTCCGGAGAACCGGGAAAGCAATTCAACGCGCCCCGGCGGCACATTTTTTGAGCCTTTGCCGCGGTCGGACCCCCATGCCTTGAAAATAAGCAATTACTGCGCAAATGCTCTTGCTACATAGGGTGAGGCTGTCATTGTAGTTGTGCTTTTAAAATTGTAGCTACAACTTTAAAAGCACAACTACAATGACGTGGGAAAATACCCGAACAAAGCTGAATACCATACATGTAAGTACCCGCGAAAACTTAAGAAAAAAAAAATCTATCTATCTCCTGGTTTGATGTTAAATAAAGTTCATCTTCGTCCCCTTTACTCGAAGGCTGTTCTACTATATTCACTCGAATTTGTCGCTTATGGTAACTACGGCCGCATTTTTAGCATCCCGTAGCCGAAATAAGATCGCCTAGTGTTTAAAAGATTCGGCTTCAAGGTTTTTTTTCCTCTTTCCTCTCTACCCCGAAGCACGCTTGGAGAAATGGGCAAGAAAACGACTTTCACCGCTAAGTTTATACTCTGAATAATAATCATATCTGTGTAAAACATAAGTGGCACAAAGTGTATTGTGCACTTAAAGTAATTTTCTTCCTTAAGAGGGTCTTGAGAATAGTTTACTGGGATATTCAAAGTATAATAGCCCTCGTTGTAAATCTCACTTCTTAGGGTATTTTTGGGGGGAGGGCCTTAGCTGATACACTAGCATTACAATGTTATTCTAAAGATACTGCATGTTGTGCAGCAACTACCATAAACGTATTGCCTACAGAAAGAATTACTAGTAATCCTTCAGTTCTGTTGTATGCACTGTCACATTTACAGTTTTTCATGCAGGTGTTAGATAGAATGAAATGATCTAGCCTGGGGTTTGTCACTAACTGCAGTAGAAATATTTATTATCCTCATTTACAGGATTATAATAAACTCAGTTTTGTAAAATGATAACATAAGGCAGTAGAAGAAATACATTTATTTGTACTCTCAAAAAAAGTTTTTTTTTTGACATCAATTTAAAAAAGCAAAGCAAATACTGATTTAAATGTCCCTTTTGAAAACAGTCAATATTTCTGTAATAGCATGTTCTCCAGTATGTAAGACAAGCAATAGGATACTTGGCACGTTGTCCTACTTAGAATTCTTGGATAGGATTCTAGTTCTAGAATATTAATCAGTGCATCATCAACTGATCTCAAGGTTTCTTGTGATACACCTAGGCTAACCTTTTTGTCATCACGTGCCGAAAGTGCGTGTGCCTGCACCCATAATGCGAAGCATGCATGACCGTGCCCCTGTGCATGCACACGTGACCCCCCTGCTTTCTTATCCCCTTGCACATGTGCGCATGACCCCCCTCGCCTCTGCATGTATGTGACTTTCCCGCATGCCCCACACATGCATTTTAGATACCCAACAATCAGTTGACTGGTGGGAGGTGTGCACGCATGCGCAGTGGACCTGATCTGAGGCGATGGCTCGCGTGCCAGCAGAAATGGCTCTGGGTGCCATTTCCAGCATGCATGCCATAGGTTCGCCATCATGGACCTAGGTAGAACCTCACCTTGAATACTATTCCCTACATTCTAGTTGGTAGAAACAGTTGCTGAAGCACAAATCCTCTTGCATAGCAGAAACAAGTTGGAGAATCTGTTTTCTGACTTCTTAGAACTTCTCTTAGCCTTGAAACAGCTGGCTAGCTCATGGGTCAAAATTTATTTTATCTAATTGTTTAAATGCAATTAGAAAAAAAATCACCCAAGATTTTTCCTACTGGTTTTCAATCTGATAAATATGCTTTTGAAATTTCTTTTGGAAACGCGAATTTCTGTGAAAATCTTATGGAGTATGGTGACTTTGCACAGTTGAGAGGTGTATGTGAATATCATCTCTTTCTAGGTACAATCTTTTATCTACCCTTTCTCTCCATGCACCAAATCCCCAAAGGCTATTTCAATAGAAAATGATGATAATGAGAGAGGCAAATTTGTAACAGGAAAGAACAAAACTTGCTGCGGTGGCACTTTCTTACCACTTCAATAAGGTAATTCAAAAACTTCACCGGGATAATTTTTTAAAAACCTCTTAATGGATCCTAAGAATAAGATTTTAGTTTGTTGTTATAGCATATTTTAAATTGCTGTTCACTATTAAATATCAAGTGGACAGCTTTAGAAATCAATAGATAAATCTTTTCTGGGAAGAAAACTGAGGAATTTCAAGTGAGGATCTATTTGCCCATTCTTCATCAGTTCATACACAGATGGAAGGGGAACCTGGATGCAGTCATATTAAGAAGCAAAAGGGAGTAGGCTAAGTTGTTTTCTTTCTTTTTAAAGGAGAGTAAGGACTGTGACATGTATCCATAGAAATATTGTATATTGCTATACCTGAGTAAATGTTTGTGTAAAATCAGTTTATATCAAACTATATGGATGGCTTCTTGTTTACAGCTGATAAAGTTAGCAAGGGTTAAAACATTTGTCTTCTACCTGATGTTCCCCAGATGGGTTGGGAGTCCCATTCTCAGCCAATAGGTATTGGCTGGAAATTTGGGGAATGAAAATTATATAATACAACTGGAAGACACCAGATTTAGAAAATGTGTTGAACAAATTCATGTAGGATAACTGTGGTAAGGTTAGCTCAGCCTTGAGTTTAGAAAAGGGCATGTTTGGATACCAGTTGGAGCAAGCAACATGCATCATATAAATTACCATCATCTGGATGGATGGCATTAGTAACAGGATGCTAGACTACATGCATTTTTTTTGCTGATTCATGGTAAAGTTTTGTCATTCATCTAAATATATGACTTCAGTTTGATTCTAGAGATTGAAAATAATCACTGAGATTGCAACATGCATTTTAAAATTTAAAAGCATCTATGAAACTTTCAATGTACAAAACCACTCTGAGAAAGCTAAAAATAAAATGCAGTGTGGACTGGTGTGGGCATCCTCTTTGCCAATTGGACAGGACCTAATTATTTTTATAAAATAGTAGCTGGGTTCAAATCCAATTCCTGAAAATGTAGAAGGATTTTGTTTCAACTTGAAATAAATATTACAATGAAAACTGAAGTGAATTAAGGAGAAGAAAATGTAAAAAACAAACAAACCCTAAAACACTAGCTTTGCACACAACCATCTAGTTCTTCATCTCTTGTGTTCTCTGTTTCAATATGTATACCAATATGGGTATGTGTGTATGTGCATGCATACGGGCATACAGATATCTTTTGTATACAAGAATCTTATACAACTATCCCTTCCAAACTGAAAAAGTTATTATTTATTTACCAGGAATATAAGAAAGTGAGGGTTGACATGGAGCTGTGGAAAATTTTGAAATCAATATTGGATCCAATTCAAATAGAAATTTCATCTTGAATAAAAACCATACCTTGTGAGACATATCTGCATGAGGTTACAGGACCTCCCCAGTTATATATGGAATTTGCTTTAAATCTTGTAAAAGAGATAAGGAGGAAAATAAAGTTTTCAGCAGTTGCTTCCTGTTATAAATTTCAATTATGTGCCTAAACCTCTTCTGGAACACTAAAGAATAAAATATCTTTATCTCTCAATGTAGACGGCATTTTAGTTTCCATCAGACATTTTAGACTGAAGAGATTAACCAGAGCTGTTAATCTTGTAACATTAAAATCCTCTAATAACTGCAACTGGATTGAGAGATAGCTGAGCATTCCATCAAACAGCACATTCGGTTTTTAAAAATAATTTTTATGGCAACACCCCTTTCTGTTTGTTTTTCTTCAACATGTAGACATTTCATTTGAAACAATGAAGAGTGCCTCTAAATATTGGAAATTGACACTTTTCTTTCGTTTTCATTTTTTTCTGTTCAAAATCAAATAGAGAAGTACGATAAAAGAGAACAGATACATTCTTGCAAAAATTAGGGGCTTTTTCAATGAAAATTAATATAAAATATCTTTAATATCTCTTTTCATCCCAGATGAATTTTGCTTTATTTTATTCAACCCATAACCATTATAATGGTAAATTTGCAATTAATTTTGGTTTTGTATAATATGCAAAGCTATTTGTGAATCAGTCAAACCAGATTATGGCTCAGCATATATGATCTGCAAATTATTTCAGCAAGCTTAAGGATGTGTAGTTGGAAATAAATAATAAAAAAATTATTATATGTGTTTCTCTTAAATGTTTTCTATTAAATGAGCCTGCAAATGTTTCAAAACAATGTTTTTTAAAAAATAGGTAGATTTTTTATATTAAAATATTTAACAATTAAGATTGTTTTAACTATGGATTTAGAATACAATCAGGTATTTCAAATACAGTAGGTTGGGCATGTATTTCTGGTTATTTTATTTTGATATGAATGATTGCTTAATTTCACCTCAGGATAAATCTCTTGAAATATTCAATAGGAAGCTTTCTGGATTTTGCACTGGTTTACCTCTCTTGGGCTCCGTGGAAAGTTGATAGGCTTTCAGTTGCAGTATTCCTTACCAGTGCATAACAGCTGAAGTCTAGAAATTAAGGAACTGGGACTCTACATTTCATGGTCTTTTCCGTTGTTTGGAACAATATATTCATAGAGATATCACAGATACTGGGGAGATCATAGAACATGCTGAAGTAGTTTTTAATATGACCTTTTCAACTGAATATATGGAGAAGTTCAAACTGGTATACAATGGGGAGTACACGTTGACCCCATTTAGTTCTCCCACAACTGAAGATATGAAGAAGCGCTTTAGTATGTGAGGGACATCTCTCCCACTGTGAACCTGCATAATTACTCCGATCACCAGGAGAGGCCCTTTTGAAGATGCCATTGATACCATAAATTCAGCCATTTGGAAGATGGAAACAGATCTTCCCTATATGACTCTCAGAATGCTTTCTCCAGGGATGCACTATTCTTCTATTATTTAGGAAAATGGCAATGATGAATCTCTTTGCCAATTTTTTAAAGCTTTAAACTGATTATAATTAC